TGGACACACTCGGCAAAAACTGTCAACCCGTACTCTACAAAGGATCAATTTTACTGCAGGAAAAGTATACCCTCATTTAGAAGCACAGAGGCAACCCACGAAGGGTGTGACTGCTGACCGAGACCATGGAAAGAGAGCCTGGTCGCCATTTAACTGCTGCGGAAAACCTGGCTCCACGCCCCCAGCCGTCTCTCCGCTTTAGACTCAACCGTGACACTGACCCAGCCCCATGGACCATCCTTCCATCTGGCAGGCAGGGAGCTGGCCTTGCCGACCCGATGTAACACAGACACTCCCTCTCTTTTTTAAAAATTTTTATTGTTATGTTAATCACCACACATTACCTCATTAGTTTTTGACGTAGTGTTCATGATTCATTGTTTGCATATAACAGCCAGGGTTCCATGCAGAACTTTAATACCCATCACCAGGCTAACCCATCCCCCCATTCCCCTCCCCTCTAGAACCTTCATTCTGTTTTTCGGAGTCCATAGTCTCTCATGGTTCATCTCCCCCTCTGATTCCCCCCCTTCATTCTTCCCCTCCTGCTATCTTCTTCTTCTTTTTTTTTTCTTAACATACATCGCATTATTTGTTTCAGAGGTACAGATCTGTGATTCAACAGTCTTGCACAATTCACAGTGCTCACCATAACACATAACCCTCCCCAATGCCTATCACCCAGCCACCCCATCCCTCCCCCCCCCCACCACTCCAGCAACCCTCAGTTTGTTTCCTGAGATTAAGAATTCCTCATATCAGTGAGGTCATATGATACATGTCTTTCTCTGACTGACTTATTTCACTCAGCATAACACCCTCCAGTTCCGTCCATGTTGTTGCAAATGGCAAGATCTCATTCCTTTTGATGGCTGCATAGTATTCCATTGTGTATATACCACATCTTCTTGATCCATTCATCTTTCGATGGGCATCTTGGCTCTTTCCAGTTTGGCTATTGTGAACACTGCTGCTATAAACATCGGGGTGCACGTACCCCTTCGGATCCCTACATTCGTATCTTTGGGGTAAATACCCAGTGGTGCAATTGCTGGATCATATGGTAGCTCTATTTTCAACTTTTTGAGGAACCTCCATACTGTTTTCCAGAGAGACACTCCCTCTTCTGACAAATCCCCCAAACCCGTGCATTTCGGCTCTTTCACCAGCAGGGTCTGGGCAAGTCCAGGCGGCCAGCCTCCCTGCTTGTGTGAAGGGCCACCCTCTGGCAATGCTTCATGTCCACTGACCCCCTTCCCAATTGGGTCTGGGAGAAACTATCTCCTTTATAACTTGGATTTGGGGATGAAGCCCCAGAGGAAGCAGACTCACAGCGACTCGCTTACTGACGCTTCCCACTCTTCATACGGACTTGGAATAGGAGTCAGCCTCCCACACTACATTCAGAAAAAAGCAAGGGCAGACAACTCGCGATGCATCCAGTCTTCGGAGGAGCTGCTCACACCAGCCTATGCAGGCTGAAACCCATTCCTACGCCTTGCTCCCTTGCTTCCATCAACCTTGGATGGTGAGGCGAGCTGAAGGCAGGGTGGGGGAGCCCTCAATCCACTGCTTTACAAACGGCGCAGCCGGTAACAGTGACCACGCGACAAACCCCCATAAGGCAGAGGCCAGCAAAGTCCTAGCCCTCAAAGCCGCGCTGCCACAGCTCCGGCACAAGCCAACTCGGCCACTCTGGTGCCGGAGCCGGCAACTCCAGCTTCTTCCTGCCTCACTGGCAAGCCTTGCTCACTTGTTCCCCACTGCACGCGAGCAGGTGGGCTGGAACTTTCTCGGGGCTGTCCCCGAGCGGCGAGGCAAAGAGCACAGGGACCAGAGAAGCAGCTGTCTACCTCACGCAAGGCCATCCCCGGCCCACCGCCCCCCTCCCTTCCTCCCCCGAACCCATCTTCCTCCACACAAGGCATTAGGATGGGGCCTGCTGCACAAGCCTTTTGCCAAGAGAGAACCTCCTGGTGCCTTCTGTCAGAGAAAGCCGGATTGCGAGGCGTTGAGGAATGAGTCACCTATGGGAACACTGGGCTTATTTTTGATGAGTGGCTGTAGGTGCGCGGGGGAGAGCAGAGATGCCTTGAAGGGGAGGCACGATCAAGGGACGCATTTTCCCCGCGGCCCCCCGCCCCCCCCCCCCCCCCCCCCGCCCCGGGAGCTGGAAAGGAGACACCGATGGGCTGAGAAGCAGCTCTTTGCGCTGGGTGGGCGCTCAAGAAATACGGGCCAAACTGAAACTTGACGATTTGAGAAAAACATGTAAAACGACCCCAAAAGGACCTCTTGTATTTCTTCTCTGCCTGCTTTTGAACACGCCCTTGTGGGGGACTCCCAGGACTCCCACGGTCTTTAGAGGAAAGCACAGGCATGCCTTTCGGGAAGACGCCCACCACACACGTCTGTGAGGACCGACACGGGCAGGACAGGAGCTCACAGACACAAAAGGCACAGGGCTGAAACCCCGTCGGCCCGGGCCCCGACTCCCCTCCTCAGTGGCCTGGTGACAGAGGCTTTATCAACAAACACAAGAAAAGGAAGTGTGGCCTTGCTGGGGGAGGGACGGTTTCCGTTTTATGCAAAGAGGCCAGCGGCCTCCCCAGGGACCAGCCAACCGAGCACCCTTGCTCCAGGCCGCCCAGGCTAGGCACAAGGTTTTCACATCATGTATTTATCCTGAGGTTCAGCTTGTGATTTCTTCACACATTCTGTGTTTTTGCCTCCATCCTATCTTTGTGCAGAAGGATGCACACAGAAAGGAATCTCGAATTCAATGCTGAAAGTCCAAACGATAGCACCCGTGCTCTAGGTGGGTGGTTCCCCAACTTCCCGGGGTGAGTAAGGTATGAGAGCCGTGCTGGTGACTCCCCAGATCCACAGGGCTGAGGTCATACACATTTTATCCATTTCTTTTATACTACGTTGGGCAACAGCCAATCCAAATGATCTAATATATATATGGAGAAAGAATGTGCACTTCCCATGAAAAATGCTAGCTGGGGTCCCCAGGGACAGAGATCCAGGACTAGATGGGGAGACATGTCTGTTTATAACACGCCACGTGTCCAGTGTTCTTCGTTACTTTTGCCCAGGATAACCACTTCCATTTTTTTTTTTTTTTTTTTTTTTTGCAGGGGAGGAGAGGCTCCGGTGGGGCAAAGAACTTGTTCAAGGGTCAGAGCCTGAGCCATGTGGTCTGGATGTTAACACCCGCCCAGCTCAGCCTTCCTGGCTGACTCTGGAAGAGCCCGGACCCAGGGGCTCACAAGCTGGTTTCCCCTCATACTTGGTCTTTGGAAGACAGAGGCCCAAGAAGTGGTTTCCTTTTTGAAAAATCAAGTTGCAAAACATAAACGATATGATACGAAGTGTATAAAGTTTAAATATGCACAAGGCCAATCGTTATGGGTTGAACTGTATCCTGCCCCCAAATTCCTAAGTTGAAGTCCTAGGTCCCCTGTCCAGGTTATACTGGAGTCTGGTGAGGCCCTGAATCAGGAGGACTATTTCCAAAAGGAAAGGATCCTGAAGGGAAGAGCTGCAAGAAGGAGAAACGTGCCAAATTCGGACAGAGGTAGAAGCAGGCGGGGAGAAGGCCGTGTGACGATGAAGGCTGACCCGGGCGTGGTGCCTCCACAAGCCGAGGAGCACCAACGATGGCGGGCAACCCACCAGAATCCGGGAGACAGGCATGGAACAGACCCCCTCAGGGCCTCAGAAGCAACCCCTACCGCCCACACCTTGTATTTGGACTTGGGTGCTCCAGACGGTGAGACAACGTGTTTCTGTGCGAGCTGCCCCGGACCGTGGTACTTTGTTGCAGTGGCTGTCCCGAACTAATACCCCAGGGTCCACACTGCTTAGGAAGACACCGTGGGCACAGGAAGTGCACGGGGACAACAAACACCAAACTGGGCCGGGGGGGGGGCAGTTAGCCCTGAAGGGAGGGAGGGG